GCACCATAGCCTATAAGCTTTGACTACTTCAAGGTATCCCATGAACATGCATTTTAGAGTTATAGGTTTGACTTGTCTTGCCTAATGTGACCATAGGCCACGCAGCCAAATACTCTCATTTTGTCGAGATCTGGTGGATGTCCCGACCAAACTTCTTCAGGTGTCTTTATATCTAATGCAATCGAGGGACATCTGTTTATCAGATATGTTGTTGTCGAAATAGCTTCAGCCCAAAACACCTTCTTTAACCCAGCACTAGTCAACATGCATCTAACTCTTTCCAAAATAGTTAGATTAAATCTTTCTGCCAAACCATTTTGTTATGGAGTACCTGCAGTAGTTGTACACCTTGCAATGCTTGAGGCAACACAAAAGCTGTCAAACGCCTCATTATAAAATTCAAGGTCATTGTCGGTTCTCAACCTCTTGACCTTTTTTCCAGTCTAATTTACGACTAGAGTCTTCCAACCTTTGAAATTCTCAAAAGTTTCATCCTTGGTCTTTTGGATGAATACATATAGCTTTATGGAATAATCATCAACTATGGATAGAAAATATCTTGCGCCTGAATGTGATGGACACCTCGCAGACCCCTAAAGATCAACATAGATGTAATCAAGGGATTTATGTGTTCTTTGTTTGCCTTCATTGAACTCCACTCTGCAAGATTTCCAAGTACACAAGGTTCACAAAATTTCAGCTTTTCGACTTTGTCGCCTCCAAGCAGATTTTGTTTCCCCAATTCGACCAGACCCCTTTCACTAACATGGCCCAATCTCATGTGCCAAATTTATATCTTCAACAAAGGTTTCATAGATGCAACATTTGTTGAACCACTTACAACTTCGTCCTCAAGGGTATACAAGTCTTGTTTCTTCATGCTTCTCAAGACTTCCTTAGACCCCTTCATGACTCTTATGATACTTTTCTCTCCTTGAAAAACATATCCCTTCTTGTCAAATTCACCAAGAGAAGTCAAATTTCTCTTCAAATTAGATATATACCTGACTTCAATCAATAACCTTATTGACTCATCATGGAGCTTGAATCTCACAGATCCAATACCTGCAATTTTGCAAGCTTTGTTGTTTTCTAGCAGCACTAATCCACCATCTTGATCACATAGCTCCTCGAACAATTCTTTGTTTGGAGTCATGTGCCAAGTGCAACCTGAATCCATAATCCACTATTTTCTTAAGTCACCGCTTGAAACCACAAGAACATCAGATGAGTCGAAGTCATCTTGAACAGTGGTTGCATTGCCATTATTCTTATCTCTATGATATTTCTAGCATTCAGGGTACACCTTTATTGTGTGACCCTCCTTCTTACAGTGATAGCATCGAATACCAGATGTCTCGCGACTATAATACTTCTGCTGACTTTTACCTTTCTTCTTGTCGAACTTACCATCCTTTTGCAAGAAATTTCCCATAACGGCCAAACCTTCACCAAGCGTCAAAGGTTTATGCTCCTTTCGTTTTTTCAAGTCCTTAGAATACAAGGCTGATTGAAATTCTTCAAAGCTCATGGACTCCCTTTCATACAAGAGAGTTTCTTTGAAGTGAGCATGTGTTTTAGGCAAAAATCACAACAACAACAACAACAACAACAACAACAGTGCTTGATATTCATCATCGATATCCACATCAATATTTTCAAGATCAAGAATTAGCTTGTTAAACATATCCAATTATTCAACCAACACTTTATCTTCGTTCATCTTGAATGAATATAAAGCTTGTTTCAGGTAGAGTCGATTCACCAAAGATTTGGTCATGTACAAACTTTAAATTTTAAACCATGACCCGGATGTCGTAGTCTCCTTTGATGCTTGCCAAAAAACCTTATCACCAAGGCTCAACAATATTGCGCTATGGGCTTTCTCTATCATGGTTGTCTTTTCAATTTCCGTTAATACAGAGTTCATGGTTGCCTCTCCCTTCAACGTATCCAAACAACCTTACTGAACCAGTAGGGATTTCATCTTCAAGTGCCACATACTAAAATCAGTCACTCCGGTGAAATTTCCAATCTCATACTTTATTGACGGTATCTTCCTCCATGCTCACCGCACCAATTTGTTGTGAAAACCGATGTCTTGAAACAAAGTATAAACAATTTCTCTATGATCAAGAAACATACAAGGGTTAGGGTTAGTTAAAAAACAAGAAGAACAACAACAAGGATTGATTATAATTGTTATTCTTTACTTTCTCTTTGAATCAGATTACAAGTACTCAAGAATAACAAGTAACCCTCTCACCTTAATTAGGATTTGCCACACTTATGAGAGACTGGTGTGTTATTTATAATAAAACCTAACATACTAAATTAATGGGTTTTTTTTAACAATTACCCATTACAAGCTAACTTAAACAATTGGATATAACAAACATACCCGACTCGGCAACTAAATGCTAGAACACATTTCAACTACAACATGTAGGTCTTCGACAACAGCATGTGAGCAGACTTCGACGACATGCTAAACATCTGCCGACAACTAGAGTTTGATCAAATATCTCACACAAACAAATATCACTACCAAAAATTTCACTTAGGTTGAAATTTTCAATATCAATTGATAAATTTTAAATTTCCGGAATTTATTGAAACATATCGGAAATTTTGAAACTTCCAATATACCATAAATTTTGGTTTGTATCGGAAATTTTGTTTTGCCTACAAAAAATTTGAAACGAGAATTTCATTAATTTTCAACAAGGATTGTTTTGACAATTTAAAAGTATGAGGGTGCCAGGTAAAATTGTGAGGGTGGATGGCAAGTTAAAATCTCGACAAATAACTCTGAAGCATGAGAGTTTAACCTTGCACCCCCCAAATTAAACTTGGCACCCCCCAATTTTTCATAATTCTAAAACTGCCCCTAGGTGAAAAACGCATCAAATTTCAGTATGAAATTTCTGGGTAGTTATAATAAAATTTCAGGTACATAGTAAAATTTCTGGTAGTTCATTTGAAATTTTCGGTAATGTGCAAATTGTTTCAGAAATTTCAAATTTTTGTGGTCATACCGGAAATTTCAACCTAAGTGAAATTTCTGGTAGTTTCATTTGTTTGATTTTTTGGATGATCAGGATTTTTCTTAACAGCTTTGGATTATTGTCATTGCACCGATAGTTTGTGTGGTCTAGAATAGATACAAAGTTGTATAAATAAGGGTCACATGTTATTGATAAACACATCTAAAAAAATGCCTCTTCCTCGATTTTTGATTAAGGCAGAATTGTACTTCAATGAAGCTTCTCCTCCAGTAGAGTTTCGGCTTCCCGATGGAACCACATCTCTTTCCGGCCTGACGTCGAAGTTGGATGAATTGTTGCCTGATGGCAAAAAGAGAAAGGTGAGAAAGATCGAGTTTTATGAAGATTGGATTAATACTAACGGGAGGGTGAAATACAACCTTATTGAGTTGAAGCCCGACGAAGATGTGAAAGAAATATGAAGATCATTTAACCGTAGGATAACAAAGGGGCCGATCGAGTTTAATGTTAAGCTTTCAAGATCCATTGATGACATAATGGAGATGCTGAAACATCTTGAAGCGTCTGGTAGTGTTTAGGTTTTTCTTATTTATTAATCATTTTGTAGTGTTAAGTTATGTAATCTATTGTCATATGTTAGTTAACGTTCACACTGCAATTTAAGGAAGATCAATAATATTAGCTAATAAAGTGTTATGATAAAGACGTCTGAATAATATACAAATAATATGAATAATACAAAAGATATCTAAATAGGCTCCTTACGAGCTATGTGTGCAGCCTGAGCTAATCCAGTATAAATGTCATCAACAAGTACCTGGTCATTAGAAGGTTCGACATCAGTTGTAGGTGGGGATATGCAAAAGTGTGATACGGTGAGATACCACTATAGATAACCATCCTCACACTACGAAGGGTGCTGAATAGTGACTGTTCGATCTCTAATGGCACGATCAGAGCCGATGAAGTTACTCTAAAACCACGAGTCAATCATTGAAGCTGGAATATCTGAAAATGGTCGTGGGATACTCTGAACATAGGCATACTATCGCAGACACGTCTAAGTCAAGTGTCTAGCAACCATGGTCTCCCACCAGCTCACCAACGAGATCAGATACAGGAACATTTGGCAGCACCTCATATGTAGCATGTTATACTGATCGAACTGGTCGGCGTCGAGTGGAACAAGGTGCTTGGAAATGACCTCACTCAGCCAAGCGCTTCTTGTGTGAACTAGTTGGGACCACTCGTCCTGCTAATAGTTGGAAAGAGCTAACATCAGCACCATTGTCAGCCCTACCCTGATGGCCTAGTTTGCTGCTCAATCAATAGCTCTACTTGCAATAATGTCGTCTCTTCCTCTGAATTTCACTGCAAAAGAAGGAAAAAATAAATATTGAAAATAATAATAATAATGGCATCTATTGGAAATTTCAAAATTTATGGTACAAAACGATATTTTTATAACTATAAAAAATTTCAAAATTTCTGGTACAAAACTAAATTTTTATAACTACCGAAAATTTTAAAATTTTCGGTAAAAAATGGGTTATTATAAGAAATTTTAAAATTTTCCGGTAGAAAATACCGGAAATTATGAAATTTAAAGTAGAAAATATTGAAAATTTCAAAATTTTCCGATACAAAATACTGGAAATTCTGTAATTTCCGTGAAAAAAACCCACCGTTTATTAAATTTATGATAGTTCACTTGAAATTTCCAGTATCGCCCAAAATATTTAAAATTTCCGTCCCAGAACTTCAAATTTTGAAATTTTTGAAAAATATTTTGCAAAATTAAATTTGTCTTTTCATATAAATTGGGAAGGGGGAGGTGTGGTATAACTAGAGACGGCAGGTTAATTTCTCCCCAAGCACATATGTTAGTCCAATAAAATATGGGTTAAAATCATGCCAGCCCAATGCCTCAATTTCCTCAAAACACAACGTTTAACAAGGTGCATGTTGTCCTAAACGTCGTCGTATTTGTCAATGGCTCACACCCACAACCACCACCACGTACTGCAACTAGTGCTATCCTGCCGGAAAATAACAGCGCAGGTAACAAACACCACAAACTCATCCATCATAGCGATGGCTTCTTCTTCAGAGCAAGAATTTCTCGCTCACTACCGATCCGTCCTCAATCGCTTCCCAAGATCACACCGATTCTGGAACGCTAAAGTCGCTTCTCGTGTTGGCGAGAAACTAGGTCTCCGTCTCAGAGAAATCGGCGTCACCGGAGTTCAAATTGACGTTACTGAAGAGCTATCGCGTCCTCTACATTATCGCACGATGGTTTCCCCGTTGTTTCGTTCCGTTCAACACGCCGGCGTTCACGTTTCTGGTGCGGACAATTTTCCTTCCTTTTGATTCAATCATAACGTATATAATTATGACTCTGACCTAGTTTTATTATTCTAATTCGAAAACAGAATTTGCTTTGATATATTGAAATCAAAATTTTGATGCTAATTAAGGTGTTTTGATTATAGTGTATATCTGTAAAATGCATCTAAGTTGTTGAATTGTTAATAGAGATAAACATATTCGGTACTGGTTGAATTGAGTAATCATGAAGATATGATCTTTAATACAATATGGTTGAAAATTTGGAAGATAGATGCTTGAAAGAGAGTGAAGTGTTTTTTAGGGTTGGTTAAGGAAAATTGATGAAGATATGATCTTTTTTTAAAAGTGAATTTTTCTTCCTTTTATAACTTTTCATTGATAAGCTCTCCAAATTATTCTAATCAACCCGTAATTATCGGTTGTGTTTGGCTTTGCAGCGTTGTTTCTCACACCATTACGCCATTGATATCGTCCCAAACAGCTAGACAATCCTCTAAATAAAATTATTTCATGTATTTCAGTTTTTTTACACTTGAAGCAATCCAAATAAAAGAGTAATATTCTAAATCATTTTCTTATTAAAACTGCCTAAAGTTGATTATTGAATATTTATGAATCTTATCGTGTGATAAGTAAGGATGAAAAAAGGTTAGGTCGAGTTAGGCTTTGCCAAGCTTGATTCTGACGTGCTAAAAAGTTTAAAGTTTAAGTTTGTCCTGTAGTCTATCATAAACTTATTTTTAGATTTAAGTCTAACCTTTTTAAATGTCTGATTAATCTACTAGTCTATTTAAAAGCTTACTTCATTTGAATGTTTGTAAATAAGAAATTCAATTAATGTTAAATAGACTAGTAAATTAAAAAATTATTGAGACTAAATGTTTGTTTTCATTGTCTCATTTAAGTTTATCTATTATCATAAGTTTAATGATACTATTTGTTGGAGAAAATATATGGAAAAAAATTTATGACAATAGCTTATGACATTGTTTATAATGTTTTTGCAATTTATTTTTATAAATCGTTTGAAATAATTAAGCTTTATTTTTCTATTTTAATTCAAAATACAAAATACAGAAACTTAAAAAGTTTTTAAAATTTTTTTATTGTTTGTGACCTAAGTTTTTTTTAGCTAAATAGACTTATAAAAAAGTTTAAACATTTTTTATTTTAAAAAAGGGGTGGCTTGGGCCTCTGTAAGGTAGACTGGGTAGACTGTAGGTCTCTGTTAGTTGGCTCCTATTAGTTTGTCTGATTTATTCTCATCCGTAGTAATAAGTGAAAACTAATTGAATTAAATTTTGAATTACTATTTTAAAAATAAAATTTAAATCAAATCAAACATTAAATATAAAATTTAATATTTATTTATTTTATCATTATATATATTATTTGTTGGTTTTATTTTTTTATAATATATTTTAATTTTTGTTATTAATATTTTTCGTACACTTTTGCGTAAATTTTCAATTCATGTTTAGTCACTAAATAGTAAATATAAATGCAATTTTAAATAGTGAATATAAATGCAATTTTAAATAGTAAATATAAAGGCAATTTAGATAGCCATGATTATTAAATAAGCTTGCAAAATAAAAATTGATGTAATTGGTAAAACCATACTTATTGATAAATAATGAATTTGTAACTTAAATTAAATATTTTTACTGTTTGTGTAAAAATCAAATAAGCTATTCCAATTCAAATCACATATAATTGAATTGAATAATTTTTTTTAGTGATCCGTTCAAAATCAATTTGAACATAATGTTATTTGTTATCTTAAAATTGAATAATTTTATCTTAAAATCAAATTAAATTATATGTGAACTCTATTTCTACCAAATATACTACTAGTAAATACCATAAACATCTCCATTATACGATGTTACGTTATGGTTTAATATGCTCGCTCTAGAGAAAAAAGTACGACTTTTCACTATTGACCTCATCATTATCACCGCGTTCACATTCTTTACTCCAACTTCAATAAAGTCCATTCAATTCTTATTTTTTGGAATGTTCCTTCCCCTAATCATTGACACCCAACCCTAAGGTCTATAGTAATGTGATTATGATTTAGACTTTCGCATATGCGATTAATATTATGTGCAATATTCCTTAAAGTCAATTCTCGGTTCCATGTGTGAAGGGAGATAGGCTTGCTATTTTGATCCTTGAAGATGAAAACAAATTAGGTATGAAAGCTTGTAAGCACAACCTTCATGGAACAGTTATTTGGTCCAAGGGTTCTTCTCCATTAATAGTGGTTAGATTGCGCCTAAAGCTACTGAGCTTTGAAAATACATAGGTAAATGTGGTGTCACTTATTTGGGGAAAAAGTTTTTTTTCAAATTTTCCTTCTCCTTCTTGGAAGGTGTTCACATCGTTCTTTCTGCCAATGCTTGAAACTTGAACCATGTAGTTTTGAAATTATTCACTTAGACACGATACTTTGTTCATGGATTATCACAAGAATACTAGAGACCTAATACTATAGTTGACATAACTAGTAGTACTGAGACACCAATATGCATCAAAGAAACCATCTTTTAATAGGGAATTGAGTCATTATGTGATGGTTTTGGTAGACTTATACTTGGTTAAGAAACTTAGTTACAAATTCGGTTGGAAAGAATTGACTTTGATTTCTTTATCGAAAATTAAGTACGAGAAAGTCCACGAGTTTTGTCATTATTGCACTTATATAGAACATTCTTATAGAAACTATTGAAGAAAAGAGATTCTAATGGATACTAACACAGACAAAACTAACTTAAAACCTATGAAGGGAACAAAACAAATATATTTTTAGTGGAGGGAAAGAAGAATGATGAAAACACTATCTTAGACGACTTGCTGAAGAATAAACAAAAGGAAATACATGGAAGTTATCATGTATAAGAAACAAGTGGTGTAATGAATCCATTGGGGGAACATACCAACTAGGTTTTTGTTAAGGAAGTCCCCAACATTAAAGTTTTTGACTCAGACGGATGTTCAGATATTGAATTTCTAATGCCACTCAGGTGGAGGAATTTGTACCTGACTCACAAGCATTGGTTAAGAGTGAAAAATGGAGGAATTATTGGAACAATTTTGGAAAAAAATATGGCTGAAAAAGTGTATGAATACAACCGAATTCATGATAATTCACAAGATGATGGATTCAAGCTTGCGACCTCTTGATGAAAAACAAAGAAACTTAAAGGCAAAATCAATACTTGGCATAAACCTAGTAATTTTAACCCTTCCTTATGAAGTGCCTATTTTGAAATCTAGTCCCTAACCACATTTACTCTCAAAAGATTAATCAATGTTAATAAACCATATTTTGTCCTTATTACAGAACCTTAGATGAATTACAACAACTTCCCTAAAAATTGGCTTTCCATAATGAACCTTAAAACTTTTGTTATAAACAAAAATGATAACTCAATTCCTAACCTTTGGTGTTTTTGTAAGATGAACATTGACCATGTGACCATTATTGCAAATGATCAACAAGTTTCCTTTCTCATAAAAGACCAAAATAGGAAGTTTGACTTTATTGGAATTTATGCTTCTACAAACTACATCCATAGGAGAGAGCTTTGGGACACACTCTAACTTGATCAAATTGATATCCCTCAATGTTTCATATGGAATTTCAATTCCATTGTGGGCCCCGTGAATACAGAGGATCTTTTCAAACAACTAGATTACCTGTTGATCTTACTGGGATCAGAAGAATCTTCAATGACCAACAACACGTCGTGAAGCAGCTACGATCAGCAAAAGTGGATGGAAAAAGGGGGGGGGGGGGGGTACCTGCAGACACTCTGACACCCAAGTAAGTCCAGGAAAAGAGAGAGTAAGTAAGTAAAGAGTGAATATTGAATTCAGAATACCTGACCCTCTATCAAAAGAGGGTATTTATAGAGAGTTCTAAGAGCTAGGCCAACGATACCCATTATGGGCTGAATGTCCAAGCCCATAATAGGTGACTTACAGGATTTCTACGTGACAGGGGGGATAAGCAACATGTGTTCATCATCCTAGGTCAACAGCCCTGTGTCCTTCAGATGGTGGATGGACTTGCCCTTTGAAGGGAAAAACGGCTCTGCAAAGTGTGCAGGTGCAATTGGTGGCATGTCTTCGGTGAGGAACACGTGTTCTCCAATGGCCCCAACATATTAGGCCAATGTTTTGGGGCCATCCCCGAAACTGAGGCCTATTTAGGCCTTGCTCGATAGCGGCCAGCATTTGGTTTGTCCTCGACACAACATTGGATTGGGCCATGTCTGACAGTGTGCCAACCACAGGCTCAGTCTAGAACAAGAGCCCCCAAATCATTGTTCCTAGTCAAATAAGCAATGACTTAGAGTCAAGTCGCGTGTCGAGGTGGAAAGGGCTCTGCGCAAAGTCAACTTCCATTTGAGCGTGCAGTCACGAGCTCGCGTCGTCGTAGACGGTGTTTGCTATAGACGCCTCTTGCTCGTGGGTTTAAATACCCGAGGACATGGCTACGCTCATAAGTTTGCTTTAAGTTTCCCTCGAGGACATGCTAGTGAGGAAATCTGGAAGTTGTTGCTTGTGCTCGACGACGTAAACTCGCTTCCAGTTATTACTTTAAGGTTATGTTTGTGTATGCGTTTGCTTTTTCTTGCAAATTGTTTTTACTATGTGTATGGGAATCTTGCTCGACAGTGTAGAAAAATAGTCGAGTGGTCGAAGTTAGCTTTCGTTTGATAGTGGAGTTAAGATCTCGTTGAGGTCTCAATTTTGCGGCGTAAACCTCCCATCGATAGCTGGGTGTTCTGCCTTGCTGATCCGACGACGGCGAAGCTCGGTTGATTTTTCTCAGTCGGGAAAAGGATCTTCTAGTCAAAAGAGCGGAAACTTTCCTTCGTTCGAGTTTCTTGTTGTTTAAGATTGGACATTGTGCTTGTACCCGAACACACCTCCGTAGTCGGGGATGTACCCCATCATCGTCTATTGAATTGTGCCGACTGTTAGGCCTAAATAGTATTGCTTCAGTTTTTGACATTCCATGGTCAAGCAAGTTCTTTCATGTGTAGGTTTTTCGAGGTAATAAGCCTCGTTCTCCCATTTTTCTCCTCCACGACGAGGAGCCAGTGTAAGAGCAAGATTTGTCTCTACAGGATTATCTCTATGTTTTGATGATAACAATTAATTAAGTATTTGTGAAAGAACTATTTTATGGTTTAATGTTTGTTATGTGCAGATAATGTTAATTAAATATATAAGATCAAACAAACAACATCAACGTGTGTAGCTAGTAAAACATGGAGTTACTATGTGTGACGTCATGAAGCGCTTAGTGGAGAAGCTAGTTTTCTTATATATCTGATCACGTTCAGTAAGATCCAAGGATGTTGGATATTGCAGTTGCAATGCTCCTGTGGATTTTGTTCTGAGTTGTGCATCTGATCTGGAAGCTAACAAGTTTTTGAAGAGTGAGTC